AATGTTTTGATACCTAAAACCCCATAAACACTCAAAACTAAATTCTAATAGATTATAATTAACCTAAACATAAATAAATATGATATTTTTGTAAAGTAGCACTTAAAAAGTGATATTTTTTTAAATTTCTCTTTTCTTAATAGAGTATTTTTTTTCCATTTACTCACAAAAGTATTTCATATATTTTTAATTCTATAGTAGGACTAACATAATAACTAGATTTAAATCCATTAAAAATCTACACTTCCACATCACTCGTTCTTCAATCAAATAGCACTATCAACATTTTGATTTTTTTTTTAATTAGATTTTTTTTTAAACCACTTAACACTTAGATTTAGAAAGTTTTATACAAGCATCTTCTCTCCTGCCGACACTAAAACGCGATTCCAAAGTCCCCGCTCCAGTAGATCTCACCGTCGTTCTGTGCTTGGCTCCGGTGGCCGGCGGTTCCCTCAACGCCGAAGCTGGAGCTCCTGTGTATTTTGCCCATTTTGATTTCCGTTTGCTTCGGTTTAGTTTGTAAATCCATTCGGTGGCTCGTTCTAATGGATTGGGGCTTCGGTCTGTCGTTCAGTGCTCGGGTTTGGCGTCGTTTGGTGGTTAGGGTCGCTCCAGGATCCATATCAGATCTCTGTTGGTTAATGTGGAAGCATGTCGAGGTAGGTTGAACGGCGAAGGCTTGGGATCGAGAGGATGGTTTGTGGGTACGGTTTCGTGTTTCGTCTTGAGGGGTTCGGTTTCGTGTTTCGTTTTGAGGGATTCGTGCTTAAGTGTCAGATCTGGGTTAGTGCAGATCTTAGTTCGGCTAAAGTATCGAATTCAAAGGACGGCGAGATTTCAGAGCTTTGGGTGAATCATGGTCTCGGATTTGGTCTTGAGTTTAAGCCAGATTAGGTCTCCTCTAGCTTTTGGTTCTGCTTTCTAGTGAGATGGGTTTTTATGTCTTTTTGTGCTATAATCTTGGTTTCTGCCTTGTGGGCCTTCTCTATCAGCCTTTAGGTTGTTTGGATAGGTTGAGCTTGGTTTAGTTGTTTCGTTGCGTAGTTAGTCCGGTTCGTAGAAGTTTGGGTGGTCTTTGCTAATTTTCGGTTTGTGTGCCCGTAGTTGCTTGTCGAGTTTGGGTGTTCTTCGTATAGCCTATGTTTAGTCGTTGAATCTTCTTTCAGACTTCTAACACCGCTTGTAGTGTAGCCAATAATCAGTTTTCGCCTTTAGTCTTCATTAGTCAGTTTTTGTAAGGCTAACCTCGTGTGGCGACGCAAAGTTCTTGATTCAGACTTTTCTGGGGTGAAAATTAGGTGGATAGAAATTTAGATTCTCGATTGTGGTGAATTATTATGGCTATTCATCGTATATGGATAATTTGGTCGCGGTTTTCCTATACATCGACGGTTTCTTGTGAGCTTTGCTAATCCGTGTATGCAGCTCTTTGCACGCCTTCGGCTTGTTAAGCAAGTGTCTCTCCTTGCCTTATTTTTAGCGGTATCTAGTACGGTTGTTTTATATCGTATATGCTTTGTAATTCCAGAAACATTTATGTTTTCTGATGGTTTAGTTTTCCAATAATGGACCTTTAGTTCTGGTATCGTCCACGTATTTAGCCGTCTTGTGAATTTTTATGTGGCTTTCCTTTGTATAATACTTTGTTTTAATATTACAACAGATGACAAAAAATATTTAGAAGGTTTCAGTTTAGTTTAGTCAAAACACGGTTTAAAATCAAATTAAACTAAACCAATTCATAATCAGTACACAAAAAGTAAACTATGACCTAATACATAAACTGAGACCTAGTCTTTCTTTATAAAACAAAAGCTATCAAAATTGAAATCTTCAAAAAACCTTGTATGTTATAACAGCTCATGAACTATTCCATTCCATCAAGAACAGTAAAAGGGGACAAAATGTTATATGGCAGGCCCTCAAGACTGATCACCAAACCCTAAGATAAATTTCATTCGAACTATTTGGAAACTCTGAATCACGAGTTTTAACAACAAATGGATTCCACACGGT